AACCTTCTCCTCATCTGACTCTCATTGCCCTAAAAACTGAGGTTTGTCTTGGCCTCACTGCTGAGCTGGTTTCTCAGCAAATATTTGGCCTCAGCTTGAACAGTTTGAAAGCCTTGTGGTTTGGGGCAGGGTTGGGGACACAGGCACTGAGTCTCTGGGCACAGAGCATTGCCAGCACAGGGAGGAAAGTGAACCAAGTGCTTTCCAAGAAACCTGCTGTCACTTCTGATCCATCCAGGTGTAACCTTGACAGGGAAACAGGATCCTAAATGGCACAGAGGCCATGAAGCATCTCTGCAGGTAAAGATTCCCATTCAGCCACCACATGTGGCATGAGATAAACAGATCATATCCAGTGTGGTCTCTTCCCACTTGGAATGCTCTGGTAACTCATGGAAAAGGACTTTCTTGGCTGTGCTAACCTTTAGTAACTGCATGAAGTATTCAGAACCAATGAGGTCCTAAGAATGCACTGCTACTGAAGCTCTGTGTGCTAACTTTTCAAGGGTCTGTGCTGAGAAGTGTTTTCCCAAACTTTTGCTTTCTTTATGTTGGGACAAAGGAAATCCTTCGTTCCCTCAGGCTGTGGTCGTGTGAGTTCTCAGTCTGTGCCCTAAAGCTCAGGTTCCTGCACTCCTCCTCACAAAAAATAAGGCACTAACTGGATGCTTAGAAGATTTCAGGTTCCTGCTCTGCAAGATTCCACCCCTAACCTCAGGCAAGTCTTTTCCCCTGCACAGTACTGTGAGGGGCAGGTAAGAGCTCTGCCCTAGTCAGACCTGGTTGAACTGCTCTGAGAGATGACTGAGATGCTCATAATCCCTGGCAAGAGAGGTGGATGTACAGAGCATCAGTTAACATCTCTCAAGCTCTGCTGACTCCTCTAGCTGCATGAAAGGCAAAGGCACTTCATGCTGTGGCTAAACTCAATGTTCTTCCAGCTCTGTGATAGCAATACTTGCAAGCCAGCACTGCTGAACTGGAGAAGAGCTCTTGGCTGAGGGTTCTGAGCCCCATTCCAAGGCAAGTTTTCACTTCCAGGCTCCCTTCTCAGTCAATCTTCCTGCAGATGTGTCCTCATCTGCAGCCTCTGCCTGAGACTCTCTCAGGGCACTTGGTCCCTGTGTTGTCACCAGTTTCTCACTCCTTGCTGTGCTCTGCAGCTCCGACCACAAACAGAGCTGCATTTGCATCTCTCTGGAGCTCCAAACAAAGGACTTTTTCAGAGTGCTCCCACACAGGCATGTTCCCTCTGCCAACTGTGCTACTGGGGAAGAAGGAACTATCCCTAGAAAGCTGCAGCTCAGAGCTGAGGTGAGCCAATTCCACAGGAGGCAGAGCCCTGCACCCTGCCTTTCTGCTCTGTGCCTTCCTCCTAGCTCCAGCTCTGCTTTGTGATTCTATCTGTAGCTTCCTTCCATGTTCCTCATTGATCTGTCCTTCTCTTGGTATCTGAACAACTGCTGCAGTCAGTCCTGTCTCTGCAGAAAGGTTTTCTTCCAGGGCAAAACTTGGTGAGAATTGGAAAGGAAAATTTTCATGAGGTTATACACATTGGTCATATTTATTCTGAGTTGTTTAAAAGCTCCAGACCAGCTTTGGACTGGAAACCCATGGGGGAAAAATGTCAAATGAAATAATTTTTCATTATTAAAATGCCAAGAGTTTTCTGGAACCTTTCAAATGTTTCAGATACCCCCAAGGAATGTTTGGCAGTGGCTGGCAAGAGACATTGTGCCCCCTGCCTGGCACTCTCTTGTGAAACTGGGAGCTTGCACTGTTGCTTTTGCTCCTGCTGGACAGAGCTGGGGTGAGGTAACCTCAGCTCAGACCATGGAGTGACCAGCAGAAAAGTGCAGCTACCTCTCAGAACCTGAGACTTTCTGACAAGTCCTGAATTGGTTTGTGTTGTCTGCAGCCTGGAGGTGCCTCAGAGAACCTCACAGCTCCAGCCAAACCCAGCACTTCTCCACCTCAGTCTTTGCCACCCAAGATCAATATGACTCTGAACATAGAACACGATAACCCAAGTCCACCAGAAACTCGCAGGTCATTTGCCAAGCTTGATGGAAGAGTGAGTTGATGTTTGCTTCTCTGTGAGTTTCTAAACTCCCCGAGCAGTTTCTCAAGCAGAGGAGCTTTGCCTGCTCTCTCAGCATCTCCTTTTCCAGCTGCTCCTGGAGACAGCCCTGACAGAGACAGCTCTCCTCATTCCAAGGGCGTGATGCTGGCTGCTGGGTTCCTTCTGCTGCCCCCTCCCCCGAGTTTGCTCTCATGACATCAAGCTGACAACTGCAGATTTGTCCTCTGTTGATCACACGGTTAAAGCAGAGAGTTCATGGCCACCCCAGCTTGTTTCACTTTGCTGCTGCTCCTCGGCCAGCCCAACTTTAGCTGCAGTAACATGATACCACTTGGCAGGGCCTGAGAGAATCTTTGGCACATTGGAAAGAGGCTTAATGTAAAGTCGACTTTTCTCTCTTTTTTTTTTTTTTTTTTTTTTTTTTTTTTTTGTGCTTTTTGAAACTCTGGTGGTTCTGCACAGCTTTGGCAGGAGCTGCAGAGCTGCTCACAAATGCTCCAAATGTGAGTGAAGGGATTAGCAATGCATTGGGAGCAGAGAATGGCTTAGTGCCTGTCCCATCTCCCTCTAAAAAGCACTCAGAGACATGGATCAAGTAGAAGAACTTGCTGCAAGCAGAAGGAAAAGCTTCCTCTCCCTGGAGAAGAAAAAGAGCAAAGGCTGGAGAAGCTTGGTGGGATTTTTGTGCCTGTTCCCTGTGGTGGCTTTGCTGGTGCTTGTAGGAAATCCAAGTGGAGCTGCACTGCAGGAAAGTCAGGTAGGAGCAAAGATCTAACCCTCAATTGCTTGGAAGGGGATTGGGGTATCAAATCTGTGTGTTTATTCTGTTTGGATGATGGATGTGGTCAGGAAGCAATCTAAATAGATGTGTTTATAGCTGTTTGAGCCCCTTTCTGCCAAGGATCCCAAAAGGTAGTTGTACATCCAAGTGGGATCAGGTTGTTAGAGGTGTGTGTGCAGCTTGAGGCAGCCAAACAGTGGATGCACAAAAGATTTGGGTGGTTTTCCTTCCCTCAGAGCTTTGGCTGTTCCTGGGAACACTCTGCTTTCCCAGCCTGGGATGATGTGGCATCTGTGCACTCTGATTTCCATGGCAGTTGAGCTTTCCTAGGAACTCCAGAGGGAAGACTCGTGGGGTAGGATCTAAACTGGGACCTACAGGACTATTAGCTGATGTTAACTCTCTTCCCAGGTCCATCCATGAGCAGGATGTACTGGGACAGACTGAATCCAGGGGGAACTGTGCCAGGGCTCTGGGACTCTCAGATCTTTTTTTGCTTTCAGCTTAATTTTAGCTGTTAATTTTATACAAAAAGAAGAATCTTTAAGTGCATTCTGTCCCGTCCTTTGTGTTTAAGGAGATCCTGGCACAAGCCTCCCTTGTTTGCATCACATGCTTAGGCTGTTAATTAATTGCTCCTAAATCACAGTTATGTTACTGTTTGGTTTGAGAGGGAACTGCATGGCTAGGAGGGAGAAGGGAATTAATTACAGTCATTACAGCTCAGTGAATTACTGGAGGTCTGACTGCACAGGGTGAATAATGCAGAGATGTTGGTCAGATCTGCCTTCATCTCCACATATACTGTTGAGGGAGATCATTTCACACCTGCCCTTCCAGTGCCTCCCAAGCCTTTGGAGTGTTTGAGACCTTAGCCCAGAGCTGAATGGGTTTCTTCCTGGGAGTGTCTGAGCTCCTCTTCAGCTCTGAGTATTCCCATAGTCTTGGATCCTTGGCATCGGGACAGCTCCTCTGATCCAAATTGCACTGTGAGGTTTGTAACGAGGTCATTGTGTTTCTGTCCCAACTCTCCAGCTGAGCTGCAGCTTTCGCTGCTTCCCACCCTAACCAATTTGTTTTGTAGCTCTTCTTTCATTAAAAGCCTCTTGTTGCATCAGTAGAACAAAGAGTAAAGGACAACAGAGACTGGGCAGAAGGTTTGGGAAGAGAACTCAACCCTCTGCACCTCTCCTGATGCAGTAGGTCAACTACAGGTCTCAGTGGTTGGTGCTGGGCTTGAGTCATCCTCACTTTGCTTTGGACTTTGTGTCCGTAGTGAGCTTATCCTCATTATTTTATCTTTCCCCCTTTGCTTGTTCAGCACTAATGACTTTAGGGCTTTAAGCTCAATGGGCCACAGAAAAGACAACCCTTGGGGCTGCAGGAGTTCTCCTTGCAGAGGAGAAGCCAGAAGGCTCTTCCTGACTCTGGTTGTCCTCTGCTGGTGCCAGGGGACTGCAGGAGCCTCAGGATTTCCCCCTGTGCTGGGGCAGTTTATCAGGGGAGGCAGAATGGGCAGTGCCTGTGCAGCTCACAGCTCTGTGTGCCAAGAACTGGGAATGGCACCAGTTGGGCTGTGGATTGGAGAGGCTGGAGAGCAGATTCAGTGTGGTGCTGGCTGTGCTAAGAGCAGGAGCATCCAGCACAAGGACAGCAGCTCCTGAGGAGTGGTAACACCTTACCCAGCAGAGTTAACAGGTCTCCTGAGCCTGCAGGTTGATGGAATTCCCAGGAATCCTGGGCTTTTCCTAACTGATGCCAGAATGGATGTGTAATCACCCCAATACTGGCATGGGATTGTAGAGAAAACAACAAAGGCAGAAAGGATTTGCATAATTTTCCCCTACTTGAAAGAACTGCAAAAAAAAAAAAAGGGGGAGGGAAAATACCTTATTATCCTGTAATTATGAGCTAATCTTTTCCAGGCTTCTCTTACAGCTCCAACAGATCCTCCACCTTGTCTGTGCTGCTCAAAAAGATGCAGAATTTTCCTTTCCTATCGAGGGAAAATGGCATTTCCAGAGTAGAATCAGAGGGGAAAGGCACTGGAGGTGAAGGCAGAGGGACAGCAGCCAATGTACCCACATCAGCTGTGCCCAGTGAAGAAGGGGCTAAGCCTTGAGCTGAGTGACCCCAAGCAATGGGATCAAATACCCTGCCCAAATCTTAGAGAGTAGGTGTTGGTTACCACCTCCATGTCACAGGTGATGTCCCTTGGCCTCACATTCCTTGGGCTCATTTCAAAGGGTGAGTCAGAGCCACAGCTGAGCTGGAGGAAAACCTGAAAACTGTCCTTCTAGGAAAGGAAGGTACTGAAATCAGAGCAGGGGGAAGCTGGTGTGGCTCTCAGACATGAGCCAGAGGTGGTTTCCTCTGTGCATGGAGTCCCTCAGCCTGCTGAAGCCCTGGAGAGGAGCTCATGCTCTGGGCAGTGTCACTTTGGCCTTGTCTCCTCTTGCTCTGGCTTGCTGTGACACCAGGGATGTGCTATTTTGGCTCCCAGAGCCTCAGTTCTTCCATGAGGAAAATGAAGACAGCTCTTGTTTCTTGTGGAATGTGCTGTGAGGCTGAACAGGCTCCTACTGGTACAGCTTTTGTACTAGTGCCACTGTACATGTCACTTTAGAGGTGTCTTGGTGCCTCTGGGGCTAAGTTGGCCCAGAGATACTCAGTGTCTCAGCCCCCAGAAGGGGAGATGGAGCAGGGACACACTCCCAGAGCCAGGCTGGGCTTTGTTCTTTACCTCCACTGCTCAGGATTAGAGGCTTTCCTAGCTGGAGTCAGATGTGTCATGGAATTGGATGTCTCACTGTTCAATGGCTTCAATGCACTCCAGGATTTCCAGGGCTCCTGTTTACTTTGAAGGCATTTCAGACCCACAGTGCAGCTCCACCAAGAGCTCTCTGCACTGAGAGGTGCCTGTTTTAGTCATTTGTCCAGTTTTGCAGTCCTGCTGTGTCGAGGCTGGAGAGAAACAGCAAAGTGAAAAGGAAATGACAACTTTCCATCCAGAAGCCTCCTGAGGCCTCATTTCTGCTCCATCTGTGCCACACTCTGGGAGGAGAGTGGCTGATCTGGGATGAAGCAGCCAGACAAGACCAGCCCTGGACACCCCTGAGGCTCCCCCAGTTGTGCTCCCCAGTCTGCAAATATACCTGGAAGCTTTTCTTGTACACTGTGCAGTCCTGGGCTGTCTCCCTTCTCTTCCGACCTCCTGTTTTGTCTTTTAAGGAAGAAGTCACATCACCAAGACTGCATGGGGTGAGTTCCTCTGCCTGGCACAGTCCAGCGCGGCCTCGGCGCCGGCGATACACCATCACCCCAGGACACCTGAAGTGGGACCACTTCAACCTGACGTACAAGTGAGCATGAGCCTGGGCCCCAGGAGTGCTGCTGGGGCCTTGGGTTTTCCTGCCAACTTTTACAACCAACTTCAGGGCACATTCAGGCCTCCCAGGACAGGGACCTCCCTCAGAAGGTCATGACTGGAGGGCTAACTCTGCCATGCTGGTGTTTGAGTGGTGTAGAAACAAGATGGTCACTGGGGAAAGGTGTTTTCAGGATTCCTGCGGCTCCAGGAGGACAAAGCTCTTGGTGCTGAGTGCTCTTAGGAATCTTCCTCCGTGTTGCCTTCAGGAAAGGCTATCAGGTCTTGGATTGCTAACGAATAACCAACAAAAAGCCCTTGACAAGTTGAAGGAACCAACAAAAAGCCCTTGACAAGTTGAGGGTGAGGCAATTGAGGCAATGCCCTGAGTGCAGATCTTCCTGTGGGACCAGGTAGGTTCCAGGGATGTACAGACACATCTCCATGGTGGCCCAGGCAAAAACCACTTGAGTCTCTCTCCCAGATGATGAAATTATTCAAGGGAAATAGCTTCATTTCCTATCAAACCTTTGATATTCTTTGGAACTCTCAGGTCTTTTTCCTGAGAACACTGTTCATCAGTGTGTGCACATTTAAGTGTCTGTCCCAGGTGATGAGATTATTTTTATTCAAAGAAAAGAACTCATTTTCCTATCAAACCTTTGATAGTCCTTGGAACTCTCTCTCAAGTGTTTTTTCCTGGGAACATTCTCTATCAGTGTGTGCACATCCATTGCAGCTCCAGTGTCAGGAACAGGAGTTTCCTCCTGCTGGAGTGCAGTTGTTTCCCCTTCTAGCAGCAGAGTAGATGTCAGGGTAAAAATAGAGACCCTTGTCTTGAGAGGAGACACAAAAACTCTAGTCCAGCACATGTGAGGACAAAGAATATCAGGACCTGATTCCTCCTGTGGAGTTTGTATTAAATGCTGTTAATATCTAGTTCAAGCTACTCCTGATTTGAACCTCTCGGAGTGGCTAGAAGTCCTTGCTGGTGTGATGGGGCTCTGAGAGCCTCCAGCTGATGGCTGAGGAGAGCAGGAGCTCTGTCCTGAGGCTGTGTGTCCCTGCAGGATCCTGAGCTTCCCGAGGAACCTGCTGAGCGCCAGGGCCACGCGCAGGGGCCTGGCGACCGCGTTCCGCATGTGGAGTGAGGTGTCCCCCTTCAGCTTCAGGGAGGTGCCACGACACCTGCCCAGTGACCTCAAGATAGGTGAGTCTGGCAGGGTGCTGGGGAGGCAGCTCAAGGGCCTGCAGGAGCTCCAGGAATTGGCAAGCAGAATAGTCCTCATGTGTTGGGGATTCTTGGGTAAGGGTTGGGACATCCTTGGCCTTTAGTCAGGTAGAGAAACTCCTCTTGGCTGCTCAAGGAAATATTAAGATCACAATTATCACTTTCTGTGAATCTCGTGGTTGGGAAACTCTAGGTATTTGCCAAGGATTAACCCTCAAATTCTGCCCTGGGACAGGATTGTCTCCAGTCCACAGCTGAGTGTTGGGAGGTGGAGGATCACCCAGAGCCAGAGAGCAGGTGGTGGGTTCCAGCTCGTGGGTTTAGTCTCCCCTTTGCTGATCCCGTTGGAGCACTGTCCTTGCTCCATCCTCTCTCTCCTCCCTCCCCTCCTGCCCCTCTGTGGCTGTTCCTGAGTTCCTGTGGTGTAGGAGAACGTCAGTGCTGAGGTTTTCTGCTCAGCCTCAACCCCAGATGTAAATTCTTGCTGGGATTTATGCTCCATGAAACGCTGATTTCCTGTGCAGATGGCAGCAGTGCTGAAACAACCAGCAGAGACTCACTGGTTTCGCAACCCTCTCCTCACTCTGGTGCTGCTCAGAGCACACGATGTGCCTTCCAGGGCTCTGTCCTGCCACCAGCTCCGGGTCCCCAGGCCCAGGGATGTGCACTGGGATCCTGCTGCAGTGCTGGCAGGGATGGGGAGCAGCTCTGCCTGTGACACGGATCAGTTATCACTGTCAGAATTCTCTCAGAATCATTTCCATCTGATGTTGCAAAACAAGCTCAGCATTCCCTGCTGGGAAGTCATCTCCTTTGTGTCCATTGGGAACAAAATCCAGGGTCAAGGCAGGACTGAGCCATCAGTGCTGACAGTGGCTTTGCCTTTATCTCCTCTTGTGGCTCTGTAGGTTGGAAAACACGTGGGATCCCATCCGAGAGAGTGTGGTAATCCAGGAGTTTACCCTGCCAGATCCACTCCAGCTGCTGCTTTTTCCACAGGTTTCTACTCCATCAACCACACAGACTGCCTGGAGTCTCTCACCCACCACTGCTTTGATGGCACCACGGGGGAACTGGCCCATGCCTTCTTCCCTCCCAACGGCGAAATCCACTTCGACGACCATGAATATTGGATCCTGGGGAACACTCGGTTCAGCTGGAAGAAAGGTAAATGTCTCAGGGAGCACAGTCAGTGCCTGTGGGACACAGCTCTGAGTTTGTGGGCTGGGAGTTACCTGTGTGGCTCCAGGGCCATTTCCTCCTGAACAGCTGATGAAATTCCTTGAGAGCTCAGCCATGTCCTTGGGTTACAATCCATCAGTGCTGGATCCAGGATGCTGCCCAGAGCCTTGAGCATGACCCACAGGCTGTGGGGGGTGCAGAGATCCAGGATGCTGCCCAGAGCCTTGAGCTGTGGGGGGTGCAGAGACTGATGGGAAGCTCTTTCAGACTGGAATATTCCTGCTAGGAACCTCATTTCCAGTTACAGCTCAGGGCTGTGGGAACAGAGGCAGCAGGAAGCTGACAAGAGTGGCCTTTAACCACTGCTCCCTTGGAGCAGCTCTGCTGGAGCCTGGCACTGCTCTGTGTCCTGCTGTTGGAAATTAGAAGCATGTGGAAATAATTGGCTCTATTTGGACCCAAGTTGCTGCAGAGGAGATGACACTGGGGCAACCATTGACAAGACTGTTCTAGTGCTGAAATGCTTCCTCTGGCTTTACACCAGGATTAGCAATTGTATTTTACCATCCATTTCCAGCTGGTTTTCCTTTGCTTCCAGGTGTTTGGCTGACAGACCTGGTCCACGTGGCAGCACATGAAATTGGACATGCCCTGGGGCTGATGCACTCCCTGAACCCCAACGCCCTCATGCACATCAATGCCACCCTGACTGGGAAGAAAACCATTTCCCAGGATGAAGTGTGGGGAATCCACAGGCTTTATGGTAAGGAGGCAGAGCTCTGGGCTCTGCTGTGGGCACAGGTTTGCCTGAGGTGTCTGGTAGGCCCTGGGGAGCTCTCGTGGTGTCAGACCACATCGTCTGCTCACTGTGCTTTAGGTTCTGCCCTGTCCAAGCTCCACCATTTCCATGGAACAATCAGATTTAGGTTTAGGTCATTTGTTTCCCAGAGGGAAGAGTCCATGCAGCCTCTCTCACACCTCCTCTCCTGTTCCAGGCTGCAGAGACAGATTGTTTCTGTGCCCGTCGTGGGCAAAGAAAGGATTCTGCGAGAAGCGCAGGAGGCTGATGAAGAAACACTGTCCATCCACCTGTGACTTCTGCTATGGTAGCCAAGGTTTTTTTCTGGGATTTGTGGGGGGATTTGCACAGAGGGAGGAGGTAAAAGTTGGGTAGGGATAGGCAGATCTTAATTTTACGCTAGAGATCAGTGGGGTTTGAGTGATTAAGCTCCAAGGAGCAAAACAGAGATGGTGTCTTGTATTTCTGAGCTGAGATCAAGGCCTGGAACTAGGAAACAGCTTTTGTGTTCAAACACTGATGGAGTAGAACATTGAATTGTCCTGTTCC